CACACACTTGCTGTGATCTGACCAGTGTGTTTCATCTTTTTCCCAGCTCTCCCATCTAACTCGTAACGCAGGGAAAGTGGTCACGATGTCCGGAGGTCTGGATGTCCTTCAAATGAAGGAGGAGGATGTGCTGAAGTTCCTGGCTGCAGGAACCCACCTGGGAGGAACCAACTTGGACTTCCAGATGGATCAGTATGTCTATAAGAGAAAAAGCGACGGTGAGTGGTGGAAGATGGCGCAGCAATTATTTCTTGTGTCCTTTTACCAAGATGATGGAAAGATTAAGTAGTGAAAGTCTTCACCATGGTGATACATAGGTTATAAATGAACATGAAATAAGTTTCTCTTCTCCCTCAATCACCAGGTGTGTACATCATTAACCTGAAGAAGACCTGGGAGAAGCTGCTGCTGGCAGCCAGGGCCATTGTTGCCATTGAAAACCCAGCTGATGTGTGCGTCATCTCCTCCAGGAACACTGGACAGGTAGAGTAAAACACTGACGGGATGGTACATTAACTATGATATGCACTCTGTTAAAGCCGGGCACTGATGTCGGTGTTCAGGTGTCGGAAGAGTGCAAGAGAAAGCGGGCCAGGTATTCGCTAACACCATTAGGACGGCTGTCCCATGAATGGGGTTTGATAGCAACCTGAGTCACAGTTCAACCTAACGAATGAAAACACTCGTAAGAATTTCACCGATTTGAAGTGTAACTTGTTCTTTCGGGCCACTTTAGAGAGCAGTGCTGAAGTTTGCCTCTGCCACCGGTGCCACCACCTTCCACGGTCGCTTCACCCCTGGTACATTCACCAATCAGATCCAGGCTGCTTTCAGGGAGCCCCGTCTCCTGATTGTGACAGACCCTCGCGCTGACCATCAGCCACTGACTGAGGCTTCCTACGTCAACATCCCCACCATTGCTCTGTGCAACACCGACTCTCCACTGAGATACGTGGACATTGCCATCCCCTGTAACAACAAGGTGAGAAGAACTGAATCATGATTCTGACCTCAAATGTTTTCTGTTGATGAACCTCGCACACTGTTAGAGCCCGGCGCTGTCCTCCGTGCAGTGCTGGGTGTAGGATGTGTGCTAAATAAAAATGCTTGACCTCTAACCTCCACTCTGAACCACTTGGGGATGGGGACAGCGGTCGTGCCACAAAAAGACAAAGTGTATATTTTCATCCCTCTGTGGAGATTATAAAACATGATGTATTTTATTCAGTGGTTCTCACAGCCAATCTGTGACTGTTGTAGGGTCACCACTCTGTGGGTCTGATGTGGTGGATGTTGGCCAGAGAGGTTCTCAGGATGAGGGGAACCATCTCCAGAGAGCACCCATGGGAGGTCATGCCAGATCTGTACTTCTACAGGGACCCTGAGGAGGTAAGACTCATTCAGTGAATGTTGAGGTTGTTGTACATGATGGTTACACGAGTTGGTTTGCACACTCTAATGCACACATTCCCAATGCAGATCGAGAAGGAGGAGCAGGCTGCAGCTGAGAAGGCCGTTGGAAAGGAGGAGTTCCAGGGTGAATGGAGCGCCCCTGCAGCCGAGTTCACCCAACCTGAGGTTGCTGACTGGTCTGAGGGTGTTGCTGTCCCATCTGTGCCCATCCAACAGTTCCCTGCTGGTACGGTTTCTTTTGATTGACCAAACTTTATCTTTATTCAAACCTGATGAAACTACGATTTGATTGTAACTTGTGACTTACCTGTCTCTTTTTTGTTTTTTGTTACAGCTGCTCCAGCTGTAAAAACAGGTAAAGTGTTCCCTGGTGAGTTTTTATTTCAAATTCTGAGTAAGGAGTATTTTTTTCCATTAAACACTGAATTTGCTTTCTCGCCCTCACAGAGGACTGGAGTACCCAGCCTGCCACGGAGGACTGGTCCACCGCCCCCACTGCCCAGGCATCTGACTGGGGTGGCGCCACTGCTGATTGGTCTTAAATCATTGACTATGGCAACAATAAAACAGTGTTTTTTTACACTTGGACTTTGTTGTTCTGTTGGTTCATTTGACATTTACTGAAGGCCACTGTTTGTTGTAATGTTGCTGTATATCAACATCAAGTGCAGATACAAGGGGAAGTTATTGTGTGAAACTAATGTGTTACGGTGTAATTGTAGAGGACCACTATAACGAGCTGGAGAATATTGGCAGGGTTAATATGGATTGTGTAAATGAGGTATGCTTTATAGGTTATATGACTATATGACTGCTCTGTCAGCCCAGCACAGGTGAAAGGGAGGATGTGGATATGACGGGGCTTCTGGGTTTTATATCAAATTGCAAAAGTATTTTCCTAAACACTTCAGTACATTAACTATGATATGCACTC